AGTTCTTTTTATTTTAAGACAAAGTCCTGCTGAATTATTGAGGATCTTGCTAAATTGTTGAGGCTGGCCTTGAACTTGCAATCCTCCTGCCTCAGCCTTCCTTGTACCTGGGATTACAAGCTCTCTACAACTGAGCCACAACCCCAGCCCAGCTCCCAGTTCTTTTTATTTTAAGACAAAGTCCTGCTGAATTATTGAGGATCTTGCTAAATTGCTGAGGCTAGCCCTGAACTTGCAATCCTCCTGCCTCAGCTTTCCTTGTACCTGGGATTATAGGTGTGTACCACTTCACTTAGCATAAAATGTCTTTTTTACTTATTACATAGACAAATATTKAATGGACCACTGATCTAAATGTTGTCAAAAGCACTGGGAAAGAGTACACTAATATTGGTGGAGAAATAATTAGGGGAATATTTTTTGGAGGGCAGTTCAGAAACACAGACTGCAACTGAATATGAGGTGTACATTTTTTCACACTTTAACACCAGTAAATAAGTATGCATTTTAAAACTGATGACATCTGCCAACTATTATCAGCAATGTAGATGAAGTTGTCATTACCTCTGAATTCACAAATTGCTTACTATTACTGGTGCATGACTGGAACAATGGCAACCCCTTGGTGTTACAGACATTAAAAGATCATTTGAGGAATTAAGTTCTGTTTATCATCTAAGCATTTTCTTTGTCAGCTTCTTATAACATTAATAACAGATTCCTACACAAAAGAAGATGCACTTTCTTTCTTTCTTTTTTTTTTTTTTTTTTTTGTACCAGGGATTAAACCTAGGACATTTAACCGCTGAGCCACATCTCCAGCCCTTTTTATATTTTATTTAGAGACAGGGTCTTGCTAAGTTGCTTAGGGCCTCAATAAATTGCTGAGACAGGCCTTGAACTCCTACCGCAGCCTCGTGAGACACTGGGATTACAGGCATGCACCACCGTGCTCGGCCCCATACTTTGAATCTACTCAAAATATCAGATAATTCCAAAATGATAGATATTTACCAGAATAATGGTCCTGTACTTTCTAAAAATGTTGATGTCAAAGCAAATAAACAAAAGACTGAGAAACTGTCCATATTAAAGAAGTTTGATCACTAAAGGTAATGAGCGATGACCTAAGCTGAGCCTTGGGTTTGGGGAAAAGGAAACTATAAGAGCATTACTGGGATAACTGAAGAAATTTGAATATAGGTTCTGGATGAGCTAACAGGATTGTATCAGTGTTAAACTTAATGAGTTGTCACTATATAAGAAAATATCCTTGTTTTAGGAGACACAGACTGAGGATATTTAGAGGTAAAACATCTATTTTGCTCTTAGGTAGTTCTGGAAAGGGGGAAGGAAAGGATACATAGATGGATTGGATGTATGAATGAATGTATGGATAGACAGACAAACGGACGAATGCATAAAAAAATCAAATGGAACAAAATGTAAACAACCACTGTATTGGGGAAAGGGTATGTGGGAGTTCCTGTATAAGCTGTAACTTTTCTGTAAGTTTGAATAAATTTCTGCTTTGAAGTTATACGGAAAGAAAGAAAAGGGAAGAAAAGGAAAATAGCATAAAAACGTGTAGGATATCAGTGGTTGGAAGAAAATCTTGGAAGCAGTGTTAGAGGTCTCTTTTTAAAAATGCTCTTTTGTCAACATTTAAATTAAAAAATTGATTCTTCATTAAATGAGAAGATATTTTAGGAATTACCTAACCAATTTCTTTTGCCAAGGGACATAGCATAGTTTACTCCAGGAAGTGGAATTTAAAATGATTTTCAGGAAGACCACAGATCTGAGACCAGCCTCAGCAACTTAGCAAGACAATATCTTGAGAGGAAAAAATAAAAAGGGCTGGGYTGGGGATGTGGCTCAAGTGGTAGCGCGCTCGCCTGGCATGCGCGCGGCCCGGGTTCGATCCTCAGCGCCACATACAAACAAAGATGTTGGGTCCGCTGAAAACTAAAAAATAAATATTAAAAAATAAATAAATAAAAAATAAAAAGGGCTGAGGATGTAGCTTAGTGGTACAATCCACAAGTATCACCAGGTACAATCCCTAGTATTAGTACTGCAAAAAAAAAAAAATTTTCCACTTTAGTTTTTAAAAAATATTTATTTTTTAGTTATASATGAACACAATATACTTATTTTATTATTTTTTTAATGTGTGTTGAGGATGGAACCCAGTGCTTCACTCATGCTAGGCGAGTGCTCTACCTCTGAGCCACAACCCCAGCTCCCCCACTTTAATCTTTATATGCCTGAATATGTAAAAGTTTTATGAAAAAAATGTTTTGTGTTTTAAACCATCAGACGAAAGCAGTGAGGTTATTTTAATAGCAAAAAGTATATTATTGAACAGAGACAGGGTATTAACCTACAGTTTCTGGAGAGTTTTGTTTAGAACACATTATTTAGATTAAGATTATTTAATCTGTTTTTATACATTTTAATAAAAGGAWTAATTTCTCAGATCTGAAATGTGGTAGATTTCAACAAAATAATCTAAATATGATTTCAACTAAATAATCTAATGTTGAGACTRATTTAAAAAAGAAAAAATTCCATATATGAATCTAGAAAAGGCAAACAATAATTCAGTTACAGATTGAATTTTCTTGCTTCTAATCATATTTACCTCTTAGTATTTTTATGTTCCACTGACTTTGTTGAACTTCTTCCTATGTATGACATAATCTAGTTCTATTAAGTACAGTTTGTCTCCTTATTCTAGAATTCAATATTACTTTTATAACATACTATTAAGTATTAAAAGAAAAATTCTTTAGTCACATACTTTTTACATTTCATAAAGTATTTGCTTAAAAAAAACAATTCTTGGGGTTGGGAATTTAACTCAGTGTCAGAGCACTTGTCTAGCATGCACAAAGCCCTGGGTTTGAACCTAGGCAAAAAAAAGTAATTTTTAGCTGGGCATAGTGGCACACACCTGTAATCCCAGCAACTCAGGAAGCTGAGGCAGAAGGATTGCAAGTTCAAGGCCATATTAGTAATCCAGCAAGACTATCTCTCAAAGGGAAGAGGGAAAAGTTATGAGGATAGAAAAGATGGTGGAATGAGATGGACATCATTACTCTAGGTACATGTATGATGGCACAAATGATGTGTCTCTACACTGTGTACAACCAGAGAATTGAAATGTTACACTCCATTTGTGTATGATGAGTTGAAATGGATTCTGCTGTCATGTACAACTAAGTAGAACAAATTAAAAAAAAAAACTAAGAAAATAGAAATGAGAGAAACAAACATCTCTCTAGATGAACTACAATGAATCAAAGGAGGACAGGAGACAAATTCACCTGCTGCTTGATCCTCATCCCCAARAGCCATATCTCCTTAACTAATAGGTTTCACTGTAACACTTCCATACATGCATATATTGTGTTTTAATTATATCTACCCTCYGTAGGAGGTATATCTTGAAGTTTTCATTCCTTTACTTTGTTTATGAATGTGTAATAGTAAATCATTTCATTTGTTTATCTTACATTTTACTGGATTGAATACTACCTAAGAATAGAGACTTACTGGAGGGAATAGAAATGGTGCACCCACCTTAGAAAACAATGTAACACTATCTTCTAATGTCAAACCTTAATATACTCTAATATCTAGCAATTTCATTTCTAAATATATACTCAAGACAGATTCTTGCACATAAACAACATGGGATTTGTGTAAGTGCATTCATGATACTAAAACCTGAAAACAAATACCCATCATGAAAAAGAATAAATTAAAAAAAAAAAAAAAGAAAAAGGATGGTAAAGCACTCCTGGGTTTTCATCTCTACTTACACACACACACACACACACACACACACACACACACACACACCACAAAAACAATTCTTAATTTTTTTTTAAAGAGTTATTTTAGCTCATATTGTTCTTTTTAGGTCAAAACAAGAAGCTTAACTTTTCTTGAGAGGCAAAGTCAGCATTTTATCATCCAGTGTGATGAAAACAATAATTTTAAATTTGTCACTAGACTTACTGTGCCATGATTYTTTTGGAAGCGAATGACTTCCTGGTCATCTTCAAATGTACTACCCATTACTATCTGTGTAACAGACTTCATAGCAAAACCAAGCATATGCTGGCTGAGGGGTACATGCTGGGTCTCTGGGTAGGAGAGCCATTTATCTAATAATTCTTCTGAAAGCTGAAAGAAAACAGAAAGCCACAACAATTTATTCTTTCTTCTCAATAAATCTTAGAACAACTCAGCAAATAGATTCATTTCACGGCATACACAGTTCAACTCCGGAACCAAAGTAAGCATCAGGTATTTCAGACTCTGGCTCCACATGTAATCCCTTTTYAACATCAGGTTCAACTTCTGCTAAAGAGCAGATCTGCAAAGCAAAATGGAACCACCACAACAATACAAACAGAAAATGTAAATTAAAAATTCAAACACAGAAAAAACTCAAACCTAATGGAAACCGAAGAGACCAAAATCTTAGCATCTACTTAAAAATAGTAGAGGTTTAGGGGCTGGGGTTATGGCTCAGAGGTAGAGCACTTGCCTACCACACGTGAGGCACTGGGTTCGATTCTCAGCACCACATATAAATAAAATAAAGATATGGTGTCCACCTAAAAMATAAACATTAAAAAAATAGAGGTTTACCAGATATTCTAATAAACATGAATCATGTTTATTGATTGCTTCTGTATGCTTTAAAACAGGTGCCTCTTAGAGCCTCTATGTCATTCCTTTATTCACCAAACATGCATTAACTACATGGTAGAGTACAAATAATATGAAGTAAAACGATCACAGACTTTGTAGTCAGAAAAATCTTTTTATATTTTTACCAGGGATTGAACCCAGGGGTTCTTAACCTCTAAGCCACATCCCCAGCTCTAGAAAAATCTTGATTTTATTTCTGGYTCTGACACTTGAAGTAAAGTGGCTTCAGGAAATGTGCTTAACCTAAAGTTTAGATACTTGAACAGTTCAGCTAGGGTGACTCCTGCTAACTTGCATGGTTGTTGTGACAGGGATGAATATAACCATGTCACATAATGTGGTAAAGGTTCTGTGAGCTACTATACGGAAAGTTCCTACCATGTTAGGAACTCAAATTAAGTTCCTTTTCCATGCCAATTCTATGAAAGTTTCATTATAGTGTAAAGGATTAAAATTAACTTTTGTGAGAAGAAGAATATTCAGAATGAAAAGATTTAGTATTACAGAGATTTCTCCTATTTAAAGTGAAACATTTGGGGGCTGGGGTTGTGGCTCAGTGGTAGAAAGCTTGCCTAGCATGCCTGAGGCACTGGGTTTGATCACCAGCACCACATAAACAAACTAAATAAACAAGATAAAGGTATTGTGTCCATCTACAACTAAATAATTTTTTTAAAAAAATTAAAGTCAAACATTTGGAAATAAAACTTGTTTTTTGGAAAAGAGAAGACTTAATGATTCTAATCCAGGTTAACTGAATTGATCCAGTTAATACACTTTTTAAAAAAATTTTTAGTTATGGATGGGCATAATACCTTTATTTATTTATATGTGGTGCTGAGGATTGAGCCCAGTTCCTCATGCATGCTAGGCAACTGCTCTACCACTGAGCCACAACACCAATCCAGTTAATATACTTATAATAGAATTCTCAGGAGCCTGTCTGTAGTCCTGGTTACAATGGAGGCTAACTGAGGAGGATCCCTGAACCCAGGAATTCAAGACTGCCTGAGCAACATAGTGAGACACTGTCTCAAAAAAGAAATAAGGAAAAGATAAGGAAATAATGAATTAAAAATGAACTCAAATTTGAGTGAAGTATAAMTAAAACATGAAAATAGTGATCAAAATACAAGATAACTACATAACTTAAAAATTACTTTTGGGCTGGAGGTGTAGCTTGATGAATGAGCACTTGCCTAGCATATATAAGGCCCTGGGTTGGATTCCCATCAACATACACGCATGCATGTGCACACTTACAATTTACTTTCAAGTTACCAACAAAATGATTCCACACACAGTAGTTGCCCAAGATGTGTAATTTCAACTGGTCTAAAAATATTAAACAAAAATGCCAGAAATAATTAACAAGTTTTAAAGTGTGCCTATTTGAGTAGTGTGATAAAATCTCACAAAGTCATGCTTTGTCCTGCCCAGTATGTGAATCATTCCTTCATGCAACACATCCATACAGTACGTACTACCTGCCCTGTTAGCCAAATAGTAGACACTTATCTAAAGAAGAAACACAAATGRCCAACAAATAGTAGACACTTATCTAAAGAAGAAATACATAGGGCCAACAAATACATAAAAAAGTCCTTCATCGTTAACAATTAGGGAAATGCAAATCAAAACTACACTGAGATTTCATTTCTCACCAGTCAGAATGGCAGTCATCAAGGATACAAACAATAAGAAATGGTAGGATGTAGAGAAAAGRGACACTTTTACACTGTTGRTGGAACTGTAAATTAGTACAAGCACTATGGAAATCAATATGGAAGTTCCTCAAAAGACTAGGAATAGAACCACCATAAGACCCAGCAATACCATTCCTTGGTTTTATTTTAAAGAATTAAAGTCATCATACTACCATAATATATGCATACCCAYGCTTATAGCAGCACAATTCACAATAGCCAAACTATGGAATCAGCCTAATGTGTCTGCCATTGGAAGAATGGACTTAAAAAAAAAATGTAGTATATATAAACCTTGGTGTTTTATTCAGCCTTAAAGAATAATGGAATTATGCCAATTGCAGGAAAATGGAAGAAACTTGAGAACATTATGTTAAGCAAAATAAGCCAAACTCAGAAAGTCAAGGGTCACGTATTTTCTCTCATATGTGGAAGCTAGAGAGGAAAAAAGGAAAAGAAAGGTGGTGGTGGGGGAATCCCATGAAAATCAAAGGGAAATCACTAGAAGAAGACCAGGGAATGGAGGAGGGGAGGAAAAGGGGAAATATTGTGGAATGATATTGACCAAATTATATTGTTTTATTATGTGCATATATGAATATGAAACAACAAATCCCACTATTATGTACAATTATAATGTACAAATAAAAATATGGAGAAAAATAAAAAATATCTCTCCAAATTTTGTCTTGTGTTATTTATGTACCTTTACATGGCTAAGAGTTCTGTTAATTAGATCTAGTGATTTAACAGTTATGGTTGAGTGTCTATGCTAAAATATTTACTACCAGCTACCTTAATATCATGCATAAATCTCATGTTTATGAGTATAAATTGTAAAGACCCAACAAATGTATCTATTTAATCTTATCATGAATATTCAATAAAAATATAATCATCTATAGACATCCTCAGAATGTTAAGATTAAAATACTGCACATGTAACTCAGAAGTAGAGTACTCATCTAACATGCACAAGGCCCTGGGTTCTATGCCCAGTATTGAAAATAAATWAATTAATTAATCAATAGCTAAATGGGGCATGGTGGTGCATGTGGTGGCTGAAGCAGGAGGATCTCCTAAGCTCCAGAACTGGAAACCAGTCTGGCAACATTACAAGACTAAAACATTTTAAAAATTTGTGTTAATTTTAACTAACATAATATATTATATGACAAAAAAAATAAAGCTTAAAATGAATTTCTACTTGGAGGCAGGTTTATAATTTAATAGATAAGATTTTAGCATATATAGATAATCTTTCAGAAAAATACAAATTTCCTTTTTTTTAAAAAAAGTGCTTATTAGCAGGTGGGAGCTGTAGATCAGTGGTAGAGCACTTGCCTAGTACTGTGAGGCACTGGGTTCAAACCTCAACACCACATAAATAAATAAACAAATAAATAAAATAAAGGTATTGCGTCCATCTTCAACTAAAAAATATATTTTTTAAAGTGGTTAGAAATTTATTTAGTAATTATTGTGAAATTAATAGAATTTCAGAGACGTGATTGTGTGTGTGTGTGTGTGTGTGTGTGTGTGTGTTTTCCTGGGATCAAACCTGGAGCTTCAAACATGCTAGACAATTGCTCTACCACTGAGCTACACGCCCAGCAAGGCAAAGCAGGTGATTTTTAATTCCACCTTACATTAGGATATTATTAACTGCAAGACTAAAGAAAATTTAAAGAAAGAAAAACCAACCAAACAAAATATATCCTAGGGGAGTAGAACTGGCCTATCAGCCTTGTGGATAAGTATAAAGCTCTAGAGTCAAGTGACTGGGATCAAATCCTAATCCTACTAATTTTTTTATTAGCTATACGACCTTGGACAAGCTATTTAAATATTCTGTGCTTCATTTTCTTCATCTGTAAAAAGAGGGAAACAACAATACCTACCTATAAAGTTCTCGTGAGGATTAAATGAGTTAATGCAAGCTATTAAATCAATTAATTCAAGAATTTTGTCTATTAATATTACTAAGCTATCAATTAAGCATATTCTAGATAATAGCTATAAATTCTAAACTCCAGAAATACTTGTTTAATCAGAATATGGCCCAGAAATCACAGGAATATATAGGATGAAAGCACAGAAAGAGAAATTACACTCACAAAATTAAAGTGGAGGTTTATACACAGCCTTGAAGCAAAGATGGGCAGGACAGGAAGGAATCAGAATTCACAGGACAGAGATGAGTGGATTAATCATTAGAGGATTTAGTCTAAATGCAGAATTCACATCTAAACAAAAAAAGGAGAAAGCCAAAAAGGTTTACTGTGGCAATATAAAACATAACAACTTATTTTAAGGTAATAATTCTGGTAAATGGGCTGTTCTACCTGGTCTTAAAGAAACCATTGGTGGGCTGGGGTTGTGGCTCAGTGGTAGAGTGCTTGCCTAGCATGTGTGAGGCAGTGGTTCAATTCTCAGTACCACATATAAACAAATAAATAAAATAAAGGTCCATCAATGACTAAAAATTTTAAAAAAAGAAACCATTGGTGAGCTGGATGCTGTGACGAACGCCTATAATTCCAGCAACTAAGGAGGCTGAGGCAGGAGAAATATGAGTCCAAAGTCAGTCTCAGCAACTTAGTGAGGTCCTAAAGCAATTCAGTGAGCTACTGTCTCTAAATAGAATATAAAAAAGGGCTAGAGATGTGGCTCAGTGGTTAAGCACCACTGGGTTCAATCCCTGGTACAAAAAGAAAGAAAGAAATCATTGGTGGGGAGAAGAAAGATGCTCTGACAGCA